GGGTAGGGGTGGGTTTTCTCCCCCTCTCTTAACGACAATGAATAAACTTTAAAAAAAAAAAAAAAAGAAAACAAAGTAGAGAGACCAGCAGATGGCATAATGGTTGTGTCATTGGACTCCCATGGTTCAAGTCCCAAACCCAGCAGCTTAAACGCACACTAAGCACATGTGCGTGTATGCCCAAAATACCAAGAGGAGATTTCTCGCTTTCTGTCTCTCTGTCTTTCTGTGAGCGCACGTGCCCTATAGCAAAAACCTCTCCAAAAAAAAAAAAAAAAGAAAGAAAGAAGAGAAACCAATCTCCCATTAGTGAGGCCAGCAGCAAGGTCAAAGCTGGACTGTTTTTCACTGTGGTCTAATCCAGTCAGTAATGAAGATACACCCTGTCGCCATGTCGCCAAGTCACCCCTTGGCCTTTCCCTGTAGGCAGTACCAAGGTCCTGCCTATCTGGGCCCAGCCTCACTCACCCGGTTTCTGATCAGGCTCAGGCCAGGACTTGCGCAGCACGTGGACCGTGGACCCAGGTTGAATGCCATAGAAGTCAAGGGTCTGGTCGTCTTTGAGCTTCCGGCCACAGTAGATCAGATCTAGAAAAGAAATTGTCCATTTCTATTTTGCCCATCAAAACAATTTAGAAGATTTCTGTCCCTTGAGAACTTTGTTGATTGGACAGATAGCTGAAGGATGATATATGTGTTAAAAGATACTCTTATTTTAAAAATACTTTCTTTTTTTTTTTTTTTTTTGGAGATGTTTTTGCTATAGGGCGCATGCGCTCACCAGAAAGACAGAGAGACAGAGAGACAGAAAGTGAGAAATCACCTCCTGGGGGGAATGGCCATGCCACAATCCCTTCTCCTCCATTCTCCTCTTGGGATCTTGGGCACGCATGCACACGTGCCCAGCGTGAGTTTAAGCCACTAGGTCCAGGATTCAAACCGTGGTCGACTAAGTGGGAATCCAGTGACATAGTCATTACACTAACTACTGGTCCCTTAAAAATACATTTAAAAAAATTTTTTTTAACTATTTATTTAATTTGGGCCAGCAGATAGCATGGTGGTTAAGGTCCTAGATTCCTACAAGGCTGACTGCAGTTTGAATCCTGGATCTGGAGGCTTGTAAATCACAACAAATAAATAGATAAATAAATGAACAGACAGTGAGAAAGAGAGAAAGGGAGTCGCTAGGTCCAGGACTCAAACAACGGTCAGCCATGTGGGAATCTAGCGCCTTTATCTACCATGCCACCTGCCGGCCCCTATTATTGTATTCTGTCTTAGAAGTTTCTGCCATAGGATGTGTGTGCTCACCAGAAAGAGAACAGAGACAGTGAGAGGGAAAGTGAGAAGTCACCCCCACAGGGGAATGACCACACCACAATCCCTTCTCTGTTCTCTCGGAATCTTGGGCACGCATGCACATGCACTCAGACTCAGCATATTTTTCAAGCTACTGGGTCCATGACTCGAAACGCAGTTGGCCAAGTGGGAGTGCAACGACATAACTGCTATGCCATTTGCTGACTCCTATTTATTTAGTTTTAATTTGACCAGAGAGAGACAGAGAAAGAGAGAAAGTGAGAAAGCAAGCTGCCAGAGCCAGGACTTGAACCATGGTCAGCTATGTAGGAGTCTAACACCTTAACCACGCCACCTGCTGGCCCAAATAAACACATTTTAACAACAATGGTTAGCAAGTACATACTCCTAAAATGGAATCACATAGACTCTATCCTCAGAGGAGCTCTAGAATTGAATACTGCAGAGATTGCTCAATTTAAATGAATAGAAAAATAGAACGGAAAAAAATGAACCCAGGTACGAATGAAAACATCTTTTTCACCAGTTGGATTCCTCAGCTCTTACAAATCACATTTATAGTGTTTAATTATAGCACATTTAAATTCTTCTTCCCTCCTCCTGAACACCCTGTCACCTCCACTTCCTTTGTTATTGCCTTCTCTGTAACCAGCAACCACACGAACATCAATCTTCCTATTCACCTTTACCGCCGATTCAAATGCCATATACTGAGGGCCCTCCCTGGCTGATCCTTCCTTCACTAGCCCCCCCTAGATTTTGTTTTTGCAAAATATTCAACAAGGTCTTATTTAAAGACTTTGTGGGGCTGGCTCCATGTCCTGGTGGTTAAGGCAGCTGGATGTCACATGGCCAGCTGAGCAGTTCGAACATGCTGGGTGCATGTATGTGCGTGCCCAAAATCCCAAGAGGAGGGGGATGGAGGAGAAGGGATTGAGGCTGCCGTTCCCCATGAGGAGTACTTTCTCTTCTCCCCCTCTATTTGGTGAGCACAAGAACCCTCTAGCAAAACAACAACAACAACAAAAGCCTTTGTGATAAAGTCTGTGGTATAAGGCGTGACCAAGATGGTAACCAGTAGTTTTGTATCATCTGTATTTCTAGTCATTTAACACTCATTTCCTTGGAGTCAACACCTCCATTCCCAGGCAACAAATCCCAAACCCTTAATTTATCCCCATAGTTCCAGAAATAGCCTCCCCACAAAGAGATCTGAGCGGCAGCCCAACGCCAGTCCACAGGGACTCACCAATCAGCTCGGGGTCTGGAACCGACTCCTGCAGTTCGCCAGCAATGAGCTGCTTCAGAAATGAAATGCTGTAGCCCCCTAGTGAGTACTCCCCCAGCTCCGACTCTGGCAACCGGAGAATAGATTTGGGGGCAAGTGGTTGGTCGGCCAGCTTCACCGCCAGGTGCCAGTCCGAGAGAGACATCCTCTCTCCTTCGCGCTCTCTCTTTCTCCCTGCAAAAGAGCAAACCCTTGGTGATTCAAGGATAGACCACCTGCCTCCACTCCCCACCAAGGGGCTTGGAAGAGCGACAATTCAGTGGGACACTGCTAGCTAAGCATAGGATGCAGGATCAGGAGGCCTGAACGGGACTTGGGGATCCGCGCTACTCCTCCTGTGATGGACAACAGGGAACTTCAGCTCTCTAGGCCTCAGTTTCTCCGTTTTTAAGTGGACAAGAAAACACTACGCAACCTAATAGGAATGCTGTGCGGTTCCAATGAGATCGTCCAACCTTCCCACTTCTGCACTCCCTTGATTTCAGATCTTCCTCATCGTCTCCTGCTTGAGCCATTACAACAGCTTCCTAACCAGTTCCCTGCCTCTGGCATGCTGCTGCCCCTCATTACTCTAGAACACAAATCTGATCAAGCCACTTCCCTCAGAACCCCTCCAACGGCAGCAAACCACCTCTAAGAATAAGTCTGAATTCCATCTTGTTGACAAAACCTCTGCCCCCTGCCAGCTTTGGTCCCCAGCAGAGCCCTGCACCAGCCCACCCCCCAGCAAGTAGGTGTACCCCCCTCCAGGGCTCCGTTCATAACAAAGCTCTCTCCCATTTCACATCTATGCTCACTGGTAACTGCAGCAAACTCCTGACAAGTCCAACCCAGATTCAACCTCCTCCCTTCCCTCCGGGGCTCCAACGCTCTCCCCTACCGAAACAGTTACAAATGTACTCCTCAGGCCCACTCCGGCCTCAATCCTTGAAGCCCACTAGCATTTTTCCTCGGGACGCATTAGATGCCAAATAAATAAACCAGAAACTCGGAGGGCGGAAGAATCTAGTGAGGCCAGCCGTGTCCTTGTCTGTTACCGGGAGCGCAGCCCAGGGGCCTCTGGTAGGGAAGAAAGCCCGCAGGGCCGCCCAGCAGACCTCTAGGCTTCCCCCGACGCCTTCCGGGGAAGGAGCAGGTACCTCTGCGCCCTCGCTCACGGAACCCTCACAACCTCGCAGAAGCTGGCACTGGCATCCGCTTTACAGAGAGAACCAAGGTCACGGACAGCTCGAAGTGGGGCGCGGACGCTATCGAGGGGTGCCCCCACCGCTCCCGCACGACGGACCAATCCACCCTCGATCGAGCCCGCGCGGCCGGGGCCGGCGCCCTCACCCGTCCCGCGGAAGGAACCCGGCCGCAGAG